TCATTAATCAATGCCCTAATTCATTCCCATCGTAGCCTCAGTTCATTCCGATCAGAGCTTCCAACGAAATTCATCGCAAACTCCACAAAAAATTCATTGGGAGTTCTCTCCATAAACTTATCATGGATCGACCAAATGTTCTCATCATTGTCCGAGTACCTAGAAAATCAACACAATCGCCATATGCCCAGTGCTTCCCTCCCCTTTTTGCCAGTGACACCCACCTCATACGCCGTCCTCCGCCATCACATCCCGTCTGTGAGTTTTTCATATCCGATTTTAAGTTTTTCATCTTATTGTTACTCCATTTCTGGTTTTGTTAATTATCCCTACTTTTTTTATCTGATTGCCACCTTTTGTTGAGCTTGAATGATCTGAGGGAAAACAAAGGTGCTACGAAACAGAAAATAAGAAAAGGTCGTGGAATCAGGTAGGGTACGGGTAAGACTGTAGGTAGGGGTCATTAGGGGCAGAAAGCGAGAGGGACTCATAAGTTCAGTTTTGAAGGTGGGAAAACTCCCTTGAGGCGTAGAATGCACAAGAAGGGTTTCAAGAACTCTTTAAGTCTTGAATTCCATGTAATTTCTGCTCCAAGTTCTTTTGATTATTCCGAGTTCTAATTTCATGTTTATTATATTGTTTGATGTAAAATACAAACTTTGTTTCAATAAAACTACATTTATCAGATTAATATGTTATCACAATAATATGTGATTTCACTGTTGATTCTGAAAACGTGAATGCTGATTAAAATGAAACCAACAAGTACTCTTGTAACATGTGTAAAAAACATTGCACTCAATTGCTTGTGACACCATTTTAACGAAAAACGTATGTGGAACTTCATTATCTTTATTTACAATATCATAGCCATTATAACGTTTGATTTCATAGGAATCTTCTAATTACAAACAAATTGGTTCACTTGTTCAACGTTCTTAAAGAAGATATGTAACACCCAGTTCCTGGTATGTAATTTAATTATAAATTTTTGCACTTAAGTTCTGGGACTCAGCAAGTTGGAGGCCCCAACTTGCCGAGTAGAGGTTAAAATTGGACGTGGGAAGAAGAACCTACTTGCCGAGTCGGATGCCCTAACTCGACGAGTAGGTTTGTCTGGATGAAACCCTAATATTTAGGGTTTACACCCCTATTTAAATGCCTTATCTTGTCCTAACCCAACCTCCATTGTCCCTCCCAGTCCAGAAAAGCCCTAACTCGAAACCCTAAAGCATTTGGAGCCATTTTTGTGTGTTTTTGGTTGTTTTAAGCTTGAAGAAGGAAGTAGAAACTTGGGGGTTCCAGAAGAAGCAAGTAGATCTAGAGGTTTTGCTTCATTTCCAACTCATTCAAGGTAAAATTCTTCAAACTTGACCATCTATCTCTTACATCTCTAGTTAGGGTTCATTTCCACATTTTCCAACCTTTTATAGAGTCATACTCGAAGTTTTGTGGTTCTATGAAGGTATGGCTTTAGATCTGGAACCATTGAGGGTTCTTATGGCATAAAGGTGCCAACTTTATTGCCATAAGCACCCCATGCATATTGTAGACTCCATTTTAGGGACTTTTTAGCCAAATCCCCCATGCATGGACATCAAGTTTGGAACTTTACGTATATTATGGACCCTAGGAGGTCAGATCTATGTTTTGAATGTATCAAGACCTACTGAAATCGAGTGTATAGTTTTGGACATGGAGGGACTCGGCGAGTCAAGTCGTATTTCCCACCAAATCCCTTCTGATACTGGACCATGAGTTGAGTTAGAAGAACACACAGTCAGTTAGACTCATTGAGGACCTGAAAATCATGGGACTCGGCGAGTGTATGAACTAACTTAGCGAGTTCAAGGCTATATCCCAAGAATATGAAGATGGACTCGACGAGTCAAGGAAGAACTCGGAGAGTCCAGTGCTAAGAGCACTACCTTGCATGAAGATGAACTCGATGAGTTCATGAGGAACTCAGCGAGTTAAGGCACAAACGTCCCAGCTAGCATGAAGATGGGCTCGACGAGTCAAGGATGAACTCGCCGAGTCACATGAAAAGGGTCCTGACTTTGTATCATGGAACTCAACGAGTTGGTGGACCAACTAGGCGAGTTGACCAAAAGTGACTTTGACCATGATGTGACTTTAACTTTGACTTTGACTTTGACTATAATCTAAGTTGACCATGAAATGGTAACTAAGGAAGATGATTATGTGTAGGATTTGAGATGAGTTGATCTCGACAGCGAGGACAGTTCAGACACTTCACGACACTAGTGTGTACAATCAAGCCGATGCCTTCCCGCGATCCTGAGAAAAACTTGAAACACATAACACATAACATATAACACTGTAAGCGCGAAGCTTAGTGAGTTCCCCAAAATACCACATACAACACATATTAGCCACTCAAGGCTATAAATCTGTTTGACCCTCTGGTCAATGTGTCTCAATGGGACCCTCCAGTCCCATAACTCTGTGGACCCTCTGGTCCTAACTCTGTGGACCTTCTGGTCCTAACTCTATAAACTCTGAAACATACATAGCATAAATCACATAGAAATAATGCAGTGTATCACATCATATAAATAACAAACAAAATACTCTGTCATATAACTCTAATTACCACTCTAGGTAAACTATAGTGAGAAGACTCACCTCGGGAAATCTCAAACAATCTTGAACTCAGAATACTGATCTAGCCTCCGCCTAATCACATAAATAAATTACTTTAATTCAATAATGGATCAAAAAGGCTACATAAGTCTCTTACTATAATCTCTAGAAGGAAAAAAGACCATTCTACCCCTTTACTGCTCCAAAGGTCCACTGGTTGACTAAACCCAAAAGTCAACTGAAGTCAATAGTCCACTCTGACCAGACTCGTCGAGTTCATGCAATGACTCGGCGAGTCCATACGCGTACTTAGATTCCTCTTAAGCTCTCACTCGACTCACTGAGCCACTCACCTAACTCATCGGGTCACCAATGGTCACGAGTCGCAGGGCAACCCGATCCGACTCGTCGAGTTCACCAAGGCACTCGGTGAGTTCCCTCCATGCACATGCTCAATTGACCTCCTGAGGTCAGATCTGCTTCACCAATCTATAGATTTGGCCTCCTAGATCCCAAAAGTCATGCAAAGGCTCGAACTTGATGTCCATGCATGGTATATTTTGCTCATTATACCATTATGACTCCATTAAAGCTTCATAGCTTCCTAACTCCATGTTTGCTCATCTATAATCTCATACTTTCGGACTCTATGGACCTTACAAGGTCCAGATCTACCACTCAATCTTGGAAAGGGGTTTGGTGCATCCCAAACCCATCATGAAGATAATATAAGCCCTAATTTCCAAAATAATACATCTACACAATTAGGGAATGAAAGGGGTCGAATATAATACCTCCAACTAAAGCCCCTTGAATGAAATCTTCAGATCTAGTAATTTCCTTTGGCATTCTTGATTGTAACCTCCTCCTCTTTTGCATAATCATACTTATACGCTCAAGATAGCTCTCCCTCTCACTCTACACAATCAAGGAATCTTTAGGGTTGTTCTCTGGAAGATATTGCTGCAATTGGGAGGCCATAAGGTCCTTTATATAGGTCTCAAGCCCCAGGATTAGGGTTTTCGTCCACAGTGCTGACTCGTCGAGTCCATCCATTTGACACGTCCCCAGGTCGTGACCCAACTCGACGAATTAAGGATCCAATTCTTCGAGTCACCCAATCAAACTCACGCCTATATAACAAATGTTATACCTCGGATATCGGGATGTTACAAAATAAAGGAGTATTATTTATGAGTAAAGATATTGTCTTGTATTAATTATTTATTATTGTCTCACTTTGCATGTTTTGACTTCCTAAATAATAACATTATTTAAACTATCAACAGTCGATCATACGTTGGAAGTAGGTATGAAAGAAGACTGTCATGAATTGGCTTGTAGATTGTCTAAGTGTTTAGACATAGCAAATATTTGCTGCAACGTTCACGAGTGCTCCTAAAATAAGATTTGAGTATTGGATTGAACTCGCACTCACATGAATCACTTCATGGAATTTAATCACGAGTGATTTTGAGATGATAATATCATATAGACTTTAAACCTAGATATATGAGTTTTTGTTTACGAGTTGGTTGTGTATTGATAATGTGTAATCAATAACTTGATGTTATAAAATGCATTTGTAACCCCTCATTTATGGTATGTAATTTAAATAAAGTATTTTCATTTCTTAAGGGGTACTCGACGAGTCTGTAGCCCAACTCGTCGAGTAGAGACGAGATAATCACGCAATTTAAGTTGGCTACTCGACGAGTCCATATGCTGGGACTTGGCGAGTCCGCCTGTCTGGATGATGCCCTAATTTTAAGGGTTTGCACCCTATTTAAACACATTTATGAGCCCCAACCTAGCCTTCACCACTCTCAGAACATTTCTTATCAAACCTAGCCTCCTTTGAAGAGTGTGTGAGTGATTGTTTCCTTGTGAAGGAACTTTTGGTGCATTTTGGAGCAAGTACAAGAAGGAGAAGGTTGAAGAGCTCAAGGAATAAGAAGTAGATCCAGAACACACTCCTTTGTGATCATCTTTTCTGGTAATAAAGTCCCCATCTTGTTTATTGATCTAATAGATCTAGTTTATCCCCAAATTGTTTGTATTAAGCTCAAAAACCCCAAATCCTTTGAGTGAAATAGCTTCATTTCTTTTGGGTTACACGTAAAGTTAGCAACTTTACGTGTTCAGATAGTCCCAGGAGCTTAGATCTACGAGTTAGATGCTCTGAAAGGGATTGGAATCGACTGTATGGAATCTGCTTGCTTAGGACTCGACGAGTTGTTCTTCGGACTCGACGAGTCGAGTCGCGATTCCCCCGTCTTTCCTTGATTTGTGAGTTCAAGGTGAATCAGTGAGTGGGGAAGGAACTCGGTGAGTTTAATTCAGAGTTAGTAATGGAGGAACTCGGCGAGTCTACGCCCTGACT